TTAATAATAATTATCATCATTACCATAATCTTTTCCATTATCATTATCATATTTACGTTTATAAGAATTCTTTTTACGACTTCTCTTCTGTGGAACATACTCTTCGGTATCTGACTCGTAGTTTTTACGTCTATAGTTATTTCTCTTTGAATTCTTTTTTTTCCGCCTATAGACTGGTTTATATTTTCTTCGATATTCATTTTCCCCATTATCATTATCCTCATTACCATTATCATCATTATTCGTTGTGTATTTTTTCCTTCGTCTAGTTGGTTTTTTAGATTTTTTCCTATAATTATCATTGTTTTCTTTATTTTTACCATCATCCTCATCCTCGTCATTATAACCATCAGCATTGTTATAGTATTCGTTACGTTTACCATTAGGTTTTTTTTTCCTTGATGGATATTTATCCCGTGTATAACTTGTTGAATATTTTTTGTATGAATCATCATTATTAGCATCAGTTTCGTCTGTTTCATCTGATTCTCTCCTATATTTATTTTTTCGTGGTCCTCTTTTTGTTTTACTTTTATATTCATTGTAGTCATCCGAATTCCCCTCACCATTATTATTATTGTAACGATTGTCACGATTTGGTTTATTGTAATCATCATTATAACTAGTGTCATCTGATTCACCAGTAGAGTATTTCTTCTCGTTTTGTTTGTATTGTCTCTTTTTCAACAAGTTTTTCAAATATTTCTTTCTATTATAACTGTTTTCATCATTATCATCACCATTATTATTACTACTAGTATAATCATCATTATTATTATTATTACCATTATTACCATCACCATTATCATTATTATTATCCTCATCATTAGAATTGGAATCATAATCATTTTGATATGTTGAACCATAATTCTCATTATCAGAATATTTTTCCGATTCATTCGAATCAGAATTACCTGAATTATTTTCTGTTTCTTCATTTCCATCTTCATACTTTGTATTATAATTATTTTCTGTATTATCAGATCCTTGTCCATTATTCTCTGATTGTTGTCCTTCATTATCATTTGAACCATAATATGAACCATCTTCATTCATCATATCTTCTTTTAATGATTTATCTAAATAATTAAATCGTTTATTATCTTCTTCTTCATCAGTTTCATAAGTATTATAATCTTTTTTACAATAGATTGATGAATAGAATAAAACAATAAAGAAATATACATGAAGCCAATTCATTCTTTATTGTATTGTATTGTACTTTACTGAATAGAAAGAAAGCATACCATGATTGTAACAAATAAATACACTTGAAAGAGGATACATTCATTACAATAATAGATATAGTCACATATATATTGGTTATTATGCACTTAATATAAATAAATAATCATTTTCTATGTAAAAAAAAAAAGAATTATCATTATGCACTTTAATTGTAGTATTTATGATGTACAGAATGAAATACATTTTTATATTTGTTATTTGATGAAAAAAACAGCAAAAAAAAGAGAAAAACGAGAAAAAAAACAAAAAAATAACAAAAAAATTTTTCTCCTTTAAATAATTAAGATGAAACGGATATTTAAAAGAACAATGGGAATCATTATTTTTTTCTCTCTTTGAATAGTAATGAAAGAAATTATTATTATTATTATTAGTAATTAATAGTTTTAATAATCATTATAATCAATGTAAACATGCAACAATAAAAAAATGATTGAATGTACTAAAATGTGTTATGTTAATGCGAAATTAATAAATTTTCATAACATCGAATAAGGAGAAAATAATAATTGAGGAGTAGAATAGAAATTTGTTTTTTCATTTTTTTGGAGGGGGAGGATGATGGTGGTTTCACATTAGCAATGTGCAACTATATTAATATTAATAAAAAACATAATAATAATATGAAAATACGGTTGAATAGTAACTGATAAAGAAATATGATGTCTAAATGTCAGTAATAATATAAATATCAGAAGAGGTTTTGTGAAGATTTTAGTAATTTCAACAGATGAGATCATGAGTCAATTGCAGCTAGACCACCATGGTAAACCTGAAGGCACTGGACAGCCGTTTCGTCCTATTGTGGAACTCCTCAGCAGTGCGCATTTAGTGAGAAGCAGTGACCAGTGGAGTTCAACCGGGTCAGTTGTGAGATAGTAACACACTGATGACAATGGTGAAGGTGTCGTCCAATTTCGTGAATTAATTCAAGTTAGACATAAACACCGTGGTATGACGGCCAGCTCGCTGGTCTAGTTGGTTAAGCGCCCGGCGCCCTACTGATAGTTCCTGAGTTCGAATCCCACGAGGCGGGGTCGTTTATGAGCACTGCTGAGGAGTCCCACAATTGGACAATACCGCCATCCAGTGCTTCCAGGTTTTCCATGGTGGTCTAGCTTCAACTGACTCATGATCTCAACTGTTAAAATTATATAAATCTCAATGATTTCAATTGTTAAGATATGGGAAGTAGTGCATCATTGTGTATATTATTGTACATGTTTGATGTGTCAATATAATAAATTTAACATGACTTGAATATTCCGTACGATGGATTAAATGTATAAATGGTAATGAGTTACTTTTCTATTTGACACAAATACTGATCATATAAAAAGTCAATTCCCAATACATATATATATATATATAGTTATGAAATTAAAGTCTATTTGGTTATTTCAGTTCACGGATTCAAGAGATGGCTAAGCGAAATATTTGAAATGATTTATAGGTAAAACACTTAACTCTGAAAGCTATATCACTTACATAATACTGTATAATATTTGATTACTTGCTAAAAGACAAGTGTTTAGTGTAGTTAAATAAGAGAGATTAGTTTAAACAGATTAAGATGTAGTGACATTCATAAGAAGTAATAAAGGCAAATATGCAGAGAGTATCAACGGCCAAAAGATCAAAACACATAGTAGACCAAAAAAGACATAATAATCAAAAAATCTTGACACAAAATGAGAGAAACAGACAACTACATTTAAGGGAAATTTGAATCGATTCGTGAAAATAATAAAAGGAAACATCTTTAAAAATTTTTTAGCTATATTCAATATCAAAACCTCTGAATAAGAAGACCAAATTCATGGAAAGACGATGCATTCATTATTCGAATAAAGCAAATTACACATAAATTAATCCTTCATCATACATCTGAAGCAGTGCACCGATCAGTTCCAGTATGATCCCACTCTGATCAGATTTCGTTTTCTCAATTTCGATCGCTTCTACTGGTTGGTTTGTCGACGACTTATTCATCAACATTGCTAATGATCTTCATAAATGAAGGCGAACATAATAATCTACGAATTCACAAAATGCAATGGTAACCTATTTTGATGAAAACGATTCACGAAACCAAAACACTCATTACACACGAGAAAACGATACAACCAAAATATAATAATGAAATCTCCAATAAATTGAGGTGATTATAAATCTACGTTGCAAAGTTACTGAATCGTCATCCATCTACCATAAAATGAGCCACAAATTGACATCCTAAATCAAGCAAGATAACTGAAGTCTAGGAAATCAATGCACCCGATGCCTTTCAAAGTACAGACTTAATCAGATTTCTTCATTGATTCAATTCACTGACCACTCATCCAACCGCTGTCTCCTCCACACTTGTATGTAAACTGTGAACAAGATGAGAACAAACTACTGGTATTGGAAAGCAAAATTTTTCACTGCTTGCAATTCTTGTTGTTTTCATGTGGTTCAACCGTTGTGTTCACTAACTGTAGTATTCAATTTCAAACTATGTCTGTTTCAACTCACATCCATACATAGTTCTCACTGAATCCTGACTGTCCACGATAATTATTGATCAGGTAATTTGTCAAATACTGAATAACATTTATATTATGTTTTGTGCTTCGACTATTGTCGTGTCACTGATATTCACTAGGGAAGTACATCATTCAAGTCATCATACCATGAAATTAGTCTCTCTCAATTTATGTTATTATTGTATCAGATTGAGGTACGATTTAGTATGTCAAAATAGTCTCGAATACTTCCAGTTCACTCAATTAAATTTGAGAAAGTGCAGTGTGCTCGCATATGATAACAACACATCAATACAAATTCAGAATTCACTATTCAGTCTTCACTATCTATATTTCAATTCATCATTATGTGAATAATAATGAATGGAAAATCGATGTAAGTGAAACAGATCGTTTCCATAAATGAGGCTGACTGTTAACAAAATCACATTCAGTAGAGATATTTTCGTCAACATTTCAACACACATCACTTCCATAGGTAGAGAAAATATTTGACATTCTACAGTGAAGTCGGAATTTTCATATGAATACAAGTTTCTGAATTGAAAAGTGATAATAGAGGACGTTTCACGAAATTGTGACTTGAGAAAACATTAACGCGTGAATGTTAAGTCGTGAGAAGCAACATCCGTAAATCGTGAACTGACATTATAACGGCAAGTGACAAATTATCTGATTTAATTTACGATGTAAATGTGCGGCTCATCTTATCACAGATGGATGACATTCTCGTCATCCGACTAACGATCAGTGACTTTGCAACGTGGACTCATACTCACCACATGAACACTCACTACAAATATCAAACGTGACTCGAATGATGTATTTTGCTATTGAATATCAGTGACACGTTTATAGACGAAGCACAATACAGAATATCAATATCAATCCGTTTTCTGAAATTTCCAATACACTAACTTCTCCAATTTGACACCTATTACGGAAGCTACAGTTCCTTATTTCGACCACAGTAGGAATCGATTGGAACACATGACCATAATATTGTGTGACAGCTGACAGTTTATTGCCAACAAATCGATGGACACGTGCTAATCTACTCCAATTCATTCGTTCCTGTTCTCACTTCACTGCACTCATGTATATAAATACACACATATTACGTTGAACAGTCGTCATAATTGTACACCAGCAATGAACGCAATCAAGGTGAGAAGTGATTGAATGCATAACACTATTTGCAAAATATAGGTACTCTTCATTTGCATGTGTTTATACACGATACTAAACGAGATCGAGGCTGACACAAAAGGTGAATCACGATGTGTGAATTTACACTAATTCGTTCCTTCTAGATGATGCCACTACACCAAAAAGTGTAGCATCAAAGAAAATTTCCAAACCAATTGGGAAGCCGTCAAAACCAGGTATGATTCACACAACTCAATTTGTCGAAGAATCGTTATTATATTTTGATTGTATCATTTTCTCTCATGTAACCAGTATTTTGGTTTCATGAATCGTGCTCATCAAAATATTTTATCATTGTATTTTGTGAATTCGTAAATTATTATTTTTGTTTTCATTTAGGGAGACGATTAGGACAGGGTAGGAAGACGTCGTCGACAAACGAATCAGTAGTAGCGACCAAAGTTGAGAAGCCGCAAGCTGATCAGGGTGGAATCATACTGGACCTGATTGCTTCACTGCTTTAGAATGTATGATGAAGGAACAATCGATGTGTTATTTCTAGTTTTCTATTAATAAATATATCATTGTTCCATGATGATCAAGTTCTACAAATCTTACACTTGAGTTTTCGTATTTAAATATGATTCTGTTTGATTGTTAGAAGTGATGATAGTCCGATGAACGAACCGAATAGTGCATAATCATCCAAACTTCTGTACTATGCACCAATCGGTCATTCAATCCTGGTATGTTTTGCAGACAACTCCAATTTCAATATTCCAGTTTGTTGCCCGATAGTCTAGTAGCGAACATTTAAACTTAGTTTTGAAATGTGATTTCCAAACATCTTGTATAATTTTTGTCAGTGAGTGCTATCTGTGGACTGACTAATCACTCGTGTCTGTCGAAACAATCGGACAGTCAGACACTTGTGGCCTTAATCCAGAGTAATGTGTCTAAACACACTGTTCTATGTGTTCTCAAATATTCTCAAGCACTCAGTATGTGGTTTTCATTAGCGTTGAACGTGATAAGGACTAGATGTTGAATTTTTCCCACTTGTCCTATAACATTCAAAATGAATTTACATAGTGAACGAGGAGTGTTACTCGTCAGTAGAGTGACACTGATAATAATAATAATAATAATAGGTTATCAGTCTGAATCGATTCTAAGAAATTTTCTTCCTTCTGTTGGTCGAACATGAAAAATTCCTATTCTCTGTATTGTATGCCATTCCCACACTTCTCAGTACATAGAATCGATTGTTGTGTGTTTCCACACTGAGGGAATACTGGTAGTTACTGGATGATCGATGAGGTGGTAACAACTCAAATATATCCGGAAACATTGTTAGTGTTGACATGCAGTGTAATTAATACACCTTATGTTTGCTACACAAAAGCAGGAAATGCTAGAACTGCTTTGCCCTCTAATACCAATAATTTCCTCTTATTTCTTCAAGGGTTTACATTCGAGTGTAGTGAAGAAACCGATCGGATTACTGGTAGGTAAATTGCATGATAGATGAAGAATCCGGTTAAATAAGTGCTTTATACCTTTGAAAGTTGGTTAGAACTTATTGAAATGATATAATGATCATATAATTTGAAGGGAAAGGAACTGTATTTACTCACCGGAATGAATAATAACACTGGGGTGTACGTACATCTAGCTGTTGGAGCCCCACATTATTCGAAACGCGTTCATTGCATTTCACTGTTAGCATTTTAAACTCTCTGCCGGCATCCGATGGTGTCAGTGCTTAACCTCAATCAATCCACAACATTGAATACTGAAAATTATGTATATTTTATTATTTTATATGTAACAGAGTGTGAGGCTTACTAAATTTGGAAAGTAATTCATTCAATCTGAACATTGATAGCAGCGATCATTGGGTTGCCATCATTGGTTATTATACTCATAGATAAATGGATCATAATTTATTATTGATCATTACTGAGTATCCACAATAGTCTTGAAAGAGTAAATTAAAAGGCCATGATGAAAAAGTTCCAAATATAGTGGAAATAATTTGTTGGTCTAATTCTGAATGAAACCAACTTGTATACAGTAGTAGTAGTCATTTGAAGTTAGATCACCATGAAAAGTCTGAAAGCACTGGACTGCCTTTCTGTCCTAGTATGGGACTCCTCAGTCGTGCGCAGCCATGATCCCTCACCCCGCGAGATTCAAACCCAGGACCTACCAGTCTAGCGTCAGGCGCTTAACCAACTAGACCACTGACCCGGCATCCAATGGTCTTAATGTCTAACCTTTACCAATCCATGAAATTGCGCGAGCATCTTCCATTGTACTGAGGTAGACACCTGTTTCTACCTGACAAGGGTTAGCTCCACTGGTCACGGCTTCTCACCAGAACTCTGAGAATTTTCTCTCCAAGCTAATATATCCTAATTCTAAATGTTAACAATGTATAACGATTAACTACAAACTGTATCTGCATTTATATTCCAGTGTTTAAATTGAATTCTCATGAAATTATTTGTTTGACTTCAGCCGTGTTGCGTATTAGCATCAATAGTGGCTTTCATGTAAGACGATGTCAAAATATTCTGATGTTTCATGTTTTTCATAGTATTTTCAGACCTATCATAATGACTACTTCATCAGTTCACTCCAAACAAACACTGATGTAAACTTTCTCATACATGAATTTTCAACCTTTCTTCCTAATTTTCATGTTTTAATACTGTGTCTTCGACTATACAATAAATATAAAAGGCATATATTTAGTGTGATCTGTGTTGATGATTAAGACATCGTGTAGTCATATTTTCCTTTAATTTTGAGGATTCTCATAAATAAAACAACATCATTGTTTAATGTTTCCTAGATCTCAACAGTTCTTCAGCTTATTGAAGATCAAGATAACAATGAATTTAGATAAGATTCCCATTAGAAAGTCTTCTGATCATATTAAACCCATTTGCCCACATTCCTATGTCGACTAAACGTTTTAGGACTGTACCAAGTTTTATAAACGTATAACCAAATCTGCATATTCCAAGTGAGCTCATTAGGGAGGGTTCCTACGATCAATAAGATTCTTAATCACACATTGAACATCTGCGTAAAAAAGATGTTATACATAAATTCTCATTAGATAACTTAAGAAAAATGAAAGAACTCCAACAAAAACAACTTCCACTTCATAAATCTGCGTCAAAGGTCGACCGCAAAAATACTAAGATAAATTTACCGTATAAAATGTATAATTAATATTATTAACACAAAATAATAATACTTATATAAAAATAAGTGATAAAATATGAATTCTACAAATTAACATACACATTATTTGCCCAATGAGCTTATTTCGCAAATTATGATTCGACTACTCATTTATTGAAAGTAATGTCAAAATCAAATCCAAATAACCTGAACATTTTCACCAGAGTAGAGGACGGCATTTGTTCACTGGATCAACTCAACACTCTTCATGATCACATCATTCTTACAAACAAAAATCAGATGAACAATACGCTCACAACTTCAAAACTAATTAATAAATTCTCACAAAATGATTCAATTGAAGGATTCTTCATGATAGGTTTCATGGACTGAACAATATGGAACATTTCACAGTCATTGTCCACTTCCATACAAACGAGCATTGACAAAGTGCCTGTTCACTAGCATTGACCATATCCGTACAATTAGTACTGGTGGAGATGAGGTAGTTTCTTTCACAAAATAATGCACTGATAGAGAACAGTTATCCCTCGAAGTTCGTCAGTCGATCGAATGGTTAGATTAGAGTAAGATGAGATCAACTACACTTCTGCCACTCTAAATGCTTATCCAAACCACCCAACACTCTGAGGTGTGTTCTTGTTCCGAAATAAATATCCACGTCAGTTGTCGACAAATTGTACTATGTAGTACTATTCATCATCATTGAAATGCGAAATCCATGCTTCACCAGGAAGCTTAGTATCGTGAAATCGATTGTGTGGTTTCTCACTGTGTTCAACGATTTCCATGTCTGTTGCGACATTCATACACAGAGAGGAATAATCGTGACCCACAAGTCAAGGTGGCTGTGCATGTAACAAAACAATTGAGTAACAAATGAAATCGAATAAGTTATTAAGAGCACATGACCAATACCCATATTCCTCAATTGCTAATCATATATATGTGATAAAACATTAGATTGACGCTAAACTATCTGTTGTAGGTTTTCTATCTAGAGTGATTTAGAATGAAGCGTTAGACGAGGGAACTTTCATGAATCCATTATCTTCTCAAAAACAATTTGTACACATATCATAGCTTATGTGGTAATTATCCATTGGACAAAATGAGAATACTGGATTTGATAGTGACAGTGGGTTACAAGTGTTAGGCAGTCAATGAAGAACTGGAAGTATTAAGTGCATTTCGTCCTAATATGTGAATCCTCTACAGTTCGCATCCATCACTCATAACCAATGTAAATGTTTTCGTGTTGTATTAGTGAACTTGACAATATAACTTACTATAATTCCGTTGCGTTTTGTTTTCACACTAAAAAGTATGAGCTTTATCAATTCTCACTTCACTGACTATGTTTATCATGCATTTCGTAGTATGGAATATTTGTGATTTTACGAATTACCAATATCGTTGTATGCTGAGTAAATAATCCTGAAATTCAAACTTATGTGATCCATTGTCATTCATGTCATATGCATCTATGTTTCACATTATTGACAATAACATCAAGAATATTCACTTCAATCAATTCTCAAACTAAACCTACTCAACACATATACACATATTTACTACTGCCATCTCCTCTCATCAACCTATTTCAAAAACTCACCAACATAACATCCATCCTCTAATCGTTTACTATATTCATCTGTATTATCTCAGGAGATATCACATACCATTATTATGAAATGTATAATACATGCACACCTGCACACCTTCAACTGTGAAATCCCTCATCTAAAATTTCGCTGAACATATACCACCCATTTCCCACTCATGTCCACTCACATCATTACCTTCAACTCTACTGTGAAAAACAAACAAAATAGTTCAAACAGCATCAAATTCTAATTCGTTTCCTTCTTCCTCCTCTTCTACCTCTTCAATATTGCAACATGAGCAATTTACTTCAATTTCCATGTAGTGTGTATACTCTTCACATTGTCATGAATGAATTCAGTTGATCGACTTCAGGTTCCCATGTGTTAATATTTTTCATAGTGCAGTCCAATTAGGACAGATCAAATTGTCAATACAACTATTGTCTGTAATACTGCTATAAAAGTGATAAATTTCCAGACTTTTTGTTGTTTTGTTTAGTTAAGCTACTTGTATGTACACTGGGTGTGTGATTTTCAATATCATTTTACTAGTGTTTCTGACATTTTTGAGACTTTTGTTCAGTTCGATAAAGATGTAACGTGTGTGTTTATGAAGTTATTTGACGAATGATTGACGTTTTATGTGCCATCTGTTGTTATATTTGTTAAATGTAATTCTGTATTAGTGGAGGATATGA